ACGGCCCCTACGGACTGTCCCAGGGGAACTTTGAGGCATGCTCTGGTCGGGCAGCAGTTGTGGGTCTCGCCATGGGAGGGAAGGGCTCCGGGGCGGTGGAGGAAGGTGGGGGAGGGCGGGCGGCCAAGGGTGGCCCAAAGCGGGCAAGCGAGAAAAGGGGGCCCAAGAGCGGGACACAGCGGGACAAGCTACGGGCGACATCTGGAAGCTCCAGGGGCAGCACGTGAGCAGTGGTCGCGATGCCGGACAGCATGCCATGTACAGTAGCCATGTACACCATGTACAGTAATACAGATTGGGCTGATATCGTCCCACAGCTCATCTCCTGTCTTGGTCTCTCTGCTGTGTGAGTGTGTGTATATGAGGGTAGGTATCCGGCATCGGGCATGGCTGCAGACCTCGTGCAGTGTACATAGGCTTCCCTTATCAGAACATCGGTACATTGTAGGAGTCAAGACGAGCAGAGGAGAACATGCATGGCGCTGCTGTTGGCATGGCCTAGTTGGAAATCACGAGGCCTAATATGCCATGCTCTTGTCCAGCGCCATAATCCGCCCAACATCATACTACTCTTTGCTCATGTTCCTGTTCATGCTCATAGTCATGCTCATGCTCATGCTCATGATGCGGATGCGGGGCATGTTATGGCGCCTACAAATATCCCTTATACGGTATACTGCAATGCCTTGGATCAAGCATGCATCCTTCGTGACCCTTTGTGCGACCTCGTCTCCATGCAAACTCGACTCTCCTTTCCAGCCCATGCACGTCCCCTTGATCATGGTCACCATGCCCAAATGCTGTTCTAACAGGTTGCTTAAACTTGGGTGAAGAAAATGAAAAGAGAGAGAGAGGGAGAGAGGCAAAGAGAGAGGGGGGGGGAGGGTGAGAGAGTGTGAAAGAGTGAGAGTGTGAGAAAGTGAGAGTGTGAAAAAGTGAGAGTGTGAGAAAGTGAGAGTGTGAGAGTGTGAGAGTGTGAGAGAGTGAGAGTGTGAGAGTGTGAGAATGTGAAAGTGTGAGAGTGTGAGAGTGTGAGAATGAGAGAGTGAGAGTGAGAGAAAGGGGGATAGAGAGAGGGGGGGATAGAGACAGAGGGAGAGAGGGAAGAAAAAAGGAATCGGTCAGTCCCCCGGGCCGTTGTCGGCATTCTCCGTAACTTGGCGAAGACGTTGCTACCCATCTGGCCGTGAGACTATTGTCCACAAGCTTTGTGATTTACACCAATCGATATTCGTGAGATTTTCTACCCTTTCCCCCTCCAAATACAGGACCATGGCCATGGATCCCTAGCCTTGATTCGCCCCGGATGCATGCGCATCCATAGCCCACCCGCGGAGATCTTTGCTCCAAAATGCAGGTGGCGCGCAAACTAGAAACGGGTGTTACGATTCCATCTCAACGGCAATCCCAGCTACACGTAGCCGCTCTTCCCATTCCCTCCGGAGCCTTTCCATTTCCTCCCAACACTTCTGGCCAATCTGCAAAAACCTCTCTTGGTTTTCTTGACTGACGTCTTGTGCATACGGATCACGGCCACTTGTCCTCGTCTCGCCAAGTCTGCCACCCCAGCCCCAACCTGCGACCTCAGTACGTTCAACACGCTCTCGGCCCCAAACGTCAGTCGCACTACCCCATTTGCCTACCCCATCCTTGCCCTCCATACTGTCTAGTGTGCTCTGTTTCGCGAGAGCCAGCCACACCATGGCCGTCGCCCCTTTGGCAGCCGTGACCGGGTGCCATTGGCTACCGAGCCAGCGGGCTATGTAGAAGGCGGTGAACATGAGGTATTCGAGGATGACGGGGAGGGCGATGATTGATGTGCCGCAGATGCCAGGGTGGCTGGTGTAAATCCTCGGACTGCTAGTCTTCTCGCTATCGTGCGCGCCGTCGAAATAGTGTGCTACCAAGTCAGCTGTAGAGGGGAGCCTCGAGCAGATGGCCATGACATCGGTCAGTCGCTTCGACGATTCGTACGGTGCGTGCGATGCAAGACCCTGCAGGTCATTGATATCAAACATATGATCATATGCTTCCAAGCTGCTAACCCATATCAATCTGCCTCTTGTGTGTTCATTTCTTGGGTGCTTTGCGAGCAAAGGAGCTAGGTAGTGGCCCAGGAGATAATGCCCAAAGAAGTTGGCACAGAAGACTTCGCCGAGAGGAGGCTCCTCTACCCTCTTGTCTGCAGGTATCTGCGGCTTTGCAACCCGGCCAACGCCTGCAAGCTTGAACGTAGGCCAAGTCACAGCGCTCTTCCAGCCGGTGAGGATGGTCCATATAGCAAGCGGCCAATTGATGCCCGTCCAGCCGCCTATACCTGCATTACAGACGACGACGTCGAGCTTAGGGGTCGTCTCGCGGAGTTTCTTGCAGAGCTTCTGCACCGACACCAAGCTCAACAGATCCAATCGCTCCTGACGAAAGTACACGCGTCGCTGCAGCACCTGCGAGATGCCTGGAAGTATGCGTTCATGGCTGCTGATCACCGTGCGCAGGTGCTTTTCTAGGGTTTCGATCGTCGCGTCGCCCTTGCGTCTGTCTCGCGTTGTGATGATGAGGACAAGCGACTCGGATTGGGGGCGCGTCTGGAGGAACTCATCAATCAGGCGAGTGCCAATGGCAAGGCCCAGTCCGCTGTACCATGGTCAATTGGGAAGCTGCGGTACGAATAGACGGAAGAAACTACCTGTTAGCGCCCGTGACAAGCACATAGAAGCCATTATCAGGTGTGGCTATGTTTTCCCTTGGAGACATATTTTTGTGGCGACTACAAGGAGAAGGATGATGGCGCGCATCCCGACTGCCCGTCACTGATGCTGTCCCTGAATTCGCTTCTCAGAAAGACGCATGGGGAGGGGGGAGACAGCCAATCAGAATATACCATGGCTGCCGCTTTATCATTGGTGGGCGCATCTCCACACTTAATCCATCCCAGCCATGGATGCTGACAAAGCACCAACTCTGCACGCGACACGGTAAGCTTGGTGCAGCGTACTCTATATAGTACACAAGTACCTGTGTACAACATACAGGTACTACCATGTACTCTCTACCGCTGGTTGGGTCATAACACCCATAAATGAGTACGTGGCTATACAGCGGTACGGTCATAAATCACCTAGATACCATACCCTATGTGGTTCTCTTAACTGCTTCACAGCTCTTGGGCCTTGGCTGATCGAAGCACGACCCACCGGCACAATTCAGCTCCTGTATCGGTACATGTATACCAAGATGCCGCCTTGGTATCTTGTCTGCAAGGTACCTGGTGTGACGACTGAGAGCCTGCGACTTCACCCTCGTCCTGTCACCGCTAGGCCAAGCTACCTTGACTCTTTTTGAGCCTGTCCCGCACCACGGCCAGAAGTCAAGGTGCATCCAAAATGGCCACCAACACCATACCACCATGCGTGCCGATTTGTCATGATTACCTGTACAAATACTGCCTGCCTGTATAATATCCTACACCATGTACCCCGACGCCTATCCCAATATGTGCCTGACAATGTCCACGATCCTTGGGCTAATCACATCATCGCCGGGCCCTTCACCGACTCTTCGATGCTCTCCAGCACTCTCCGAAGCCGAAGATGATCGTAAGGCTGCGGCGATGAGCCTCGGTACGGTACTACCGTGTATCCCCACCAATTTGCTGTACAGCGAGACCCTTGGAGGTCCGACAACATGGCTACCTTGTGTACGTCGGTGTGTGCGTCGGCTGTAGAGTAGTAGACCGTTCTTGCGCGGGCGTATTTTTTCCACAGAGCATTTCAGACACCAAATTTTCGCTTCTGAACCAGTGTACTGTCGATTTGTTAGCCTTCGGCCCTCCCCTGGTCCGATTACGCGGTCCCGAACCGTTGACCATGGCGTATCATCTCAAGCTTCCTCACCGACTAATTGTGTTGATGTCCCTAGACTCTAGAATGGACCAACCCTCTGCAGGCAAGATACACCACGAATGTCTTGGGACAAGCCAGTACGTAACGGCACACGAGCCCCAAATGATGGGAATGAAGCCATCAAGGCCGACAAAGGACCGCTCTTTCGCTGAGCATGGAAGCTAGTTCGCGAGTTAACCAAGTGGAATGCGGAGAGCAGACCGCCCCAACTATGGTGACGGGACGGGCGAGAAATCATGTTTGTAGTCCGATTGTGGGCCAGGTAGATAGAGTCTGGGCTGGGGAAAGCATATCATGTTGAAACCTGAGTCGATTTCCGCGTATGCACGTCAACATGCACGTCATGCGTTCAAACTTTAACCTGCGTTTCAGCCACACTGACGGACGTCGCGCATTTCCTTCCGCCCAAATCCGGTGTCTTCGTGGTGTTACTACGTCAAAAGTTGTCGGAAATATGCGGCCGCTACTTATATCCTGGAGCGAAAGTTCTTCAAGTGTAGAAATTCGACGCGGTCGATGGTAAGCTCCCCGTGTCCCGGAACTCAGTGTTAACTTCCCATGCCTCCGGGGAATTTCCATCTGATCGGTGAGATCGTTGTTTGAACGTTTTCCGGGCTATGCCGCTCTACTGTGTAAGCTCCCAATCACCACCTAGGCGAGTTAGAAGATTCACATGGGTGTTTAACAAATTACTATGTACGAAACTGCCACAGCCGAGTAAACACAGTCTGTACGTACTTACACTACACAGTCGGACCGACATCATTCACCGTACGTACTACCTATGCATAAGTAAGCAAGAGAAAATATGAGTGGTTCGTGGTACTGACAGTTCGGTCCGTGCCGGTGCCGCTGAGGTGGATCTTCAGCCATCAGAGCCATCAGCCATAATGCATGTACCGGGTCTGCCCAACTGGGGCAGCAATCTCCGCTTTAGAAAGACTACCCTCAACATCGCCCAGGCCAGGTGCGCTTTCTCATCAGGTTAGATGATCATGCAAGGCACTAACAAGCGCCGAAGCTGGCCGGGACTATCGGCACGATTGTCGTCAAAAAAGAGTATTTCGTGGTCTGATCGAACAGTCGATTGACGGGCTCAAGAGAGCTTCAGAAAAAAAGCAAAAGTGAATGCATTGGCTTCGTTTCACAAGGGGATATCGGGGAGACAAAGGCGCGGTTCGGTTCGTTCATACCGTGGGCAGTGTCATAGTGGCTCTCAATATCATACACCTGGCAAGCTTTAGCCCTCTGGGGTGGGGAGATCAACCCACTGCTAAGCTTTAGGATGCAAGAAAACGCTCATAAAGTTTGCCGGTACGGCGAATACTGGCGATGCACCCTCGGTCGTGTGTGAGGGCGCAGTTCATATAACCATGGAATTAGCGCTGCGTGAACTTGTATTTGGCATAGGGTTAGGCCGTGCCAAGCTCTACTAGCTAGCTAAGCAAGGTTAACTAAATATTATGCCGTAAGATTTTGCAACGCGTTCTAAACCTATTCTAAATATATTCTATACTAGTAACACTATAAGCTACTGCTACTATGCCTGTTACTAATATATCCCTCTTATCCTACGTAAGCAGATTAAAACGTGTTTAGAACGTATTCTTAACAGGTTATAGAAGCACTATTAATAGTACCTTGCCCTTAGCCGCGTTCTAGACAATATTAGGGCATAGCCTGTGGTTAGCCCTAATAGGGTAGTTAAGATAGAGAGTAGAGAGCGCTACTACTATACTAAGATTAACAACAAGGGCACCTTATACAGAGTAAGAACAGGTTCTAAACGTGTTCTAAACAGGTTCTAATATTCTTAGGCTGTTCTAGGTACTAGGGGCACTCTGTGTACCTATACTAAAAAAGATTATAGGCTTAACATAGCCTACTATAAGGTTAGTAGGGTTAAGAAGACTAGCTAGCCCTCTATAACAGAGGTCTGTAAGGCAAAGAGTAAATATATTATTAACCTATTCTTAACTTATTATACTAATATATATAGACTTCTATATAAAGGTTATACGTAATTACTAGAACACTCCTTACTATAAGTTATTTAGAATATATTTAAAACTTATTACTAATATGTTTTATAGAAGTTCTCTAAGCCTAGCTAGCAGCTGCTGTAGGCCCCCCTATAAATACTAATACCCTCCTAAATATAATTTAGAAGAAGACTTGCAGTAGCTATAATAGTAATAAGGTACAGCCTACAAGAACCTATTAAAAACACGTTGCTAACTTGTTATAGCTTAACTTTGTTACTATATCTACCCTGCTAAGGATTTAAGGTTATTAGGTTCCTTATACTATCTACGCTTGTGATTATCCTAGCTATAGTAAGTTGTTTATAATATGTTATTAACCTATTCCTAATATATTTTAAGACTGTTACTTTAATACTAGTGTAGACCTTGCTAATTCCTGCTAGAATACCGCCTAGTTCCACTTGCAGTATGCTTTTGTAGAGCCTAGGGAGGATAGAGAAGATACTAGAGAGGGGGAGGGAGATAATAATAGTAATAAGTAGGAACACGTTAAGAACGTGTTAAGAATAGGTTCTAATAAACAATATACAATAGCACATAACCTAAAGGGGTGGTAGTAATTGCTAAAATAAACTCTCTACTCTTCTCTTTTTTTTTCTATCTACTAAAAGTAAAGTACTATTTACTTTTATAGGGTCCTTTAATAGTATATAACTTTTTCTTTTAACTTTTATAGGTATTACAAAGCTCTAGTAGTCCCTTAGATTAAAGAAGAATCTAGTATTTATAGGTGTCTAGCTATAACGTATTATTAATATGTTCTAAATGTGTTTCAAGAGACTAGACTTATATCTCCTTTTTGCTACTTTCGCTAAATATTATTTACAGTGTAAAGGGGAGCAACTATTTGCTCCTCTTCTTTACTCTCTGCTTCCTCTTTAGCCTCTACTCTAGCTACCACTTCTTGTTGTAGACTAGCTATCTTAGAGGGTTCTTAAACCTTAGAGGAGGCACTTAGTGCAGTCTGCTCTACTAGCAGAGAATATATTATTAACGTGTTTAGAACACGTTCTTAAGTATTTACTATTAAGCTCCTATAGAAGATCCTTGCTTCTATAGTGCCTTGTATTATAGTTCTGCCACAGTTTACTAGGGCTATTTAAACCTTAGGATAATACCTCTTAAGGTAGTAGATAAGATTGCCTCTATTAGAGAAGTGATGCTAAAATAGTTATTAACATGTTATAAACGTGTTCTAACTTGCATATATACATACTCTACAAAGTTCCTGTACCCCTAATCTAGCCTAAATAGCCTAGCAGAAAAGCTCGCTAGGAAATACTATACACCTATTATTTAGGTAGGATGTTGCAGGAGAGAATGCCCTAGTATTAGATAGAAGTAACTTAAGCTTAATATATCGCTGGTATAAATCCTACTTAGTGTTAGAACAAGTTTATAACGTGTTCCTAACGCGTTCTATTACATACTAACTTTAAAAGATCTTTGTAGACTATATTAACTAGTTATATCTAATAATATTAGGAAAGATAGATAGTAAAATAGTATTAAACTCTTAAATATAAAAAGTTCTTGTAGAGTGTAAGAAGAAAGAAGAAGAAAGAGAAGAAGAAAGAATATATATTTATCCGCTTATATATACTTACGTAATAGACTAGAATATATTAAGAACTAGTTAGGAACTAGTTACTATATTTATAGACTAACCCTACCTTGTATAAAAAGTAGCTATCTCTTTCTTAAGTTTAAACTGTGCCTTTTGTAATTTAAATAGTGCCTTTTTCTGTGCAAGTTCTTCCTTATCTACCTCTAGCTTTTCTTTTCTCTCCTTTAGAGCCTAATTACTAAGAAGAGCCTTTTATTATAAAGTTTGTAGTTGCAGACTAATAATAAGTTAGGAACGTGTTATAAATATGTTTTGCAAAGCATACCTTTAGGTTACTATTAGTAGAGGAGAAGAGCCTAGTAGTAGAGAAGATAGAAAAGGGGCTAGTGAACTTCTTTCTAATACCGCTCTACTACTTGCCCTCTAGCTTTAGGCTTTTAAGCGTGCTCTTTTATTTCTTATTAGGACTAAGATATATCTAGTTAAGTTAGATATAGCAAGACTTGCTTTATTATTATCTAGAGTGTTATTATTATTACAGGACGCGTTCTAAACACGTTCTAAACACGTTTTAATTAGCAAATGTGCATAACGCTAGCGTAAGACTTACTTTCTCCCCTCTAAAGCTTTTTAAGGTACCTTTGCTTAAGCCTATTAGGAGTTCTATAGTTATAGCGTATTCTAAACTTGCTCTAGGCTTTAAACTCTTTTATATCCTGCAGATCTATCTAGTGTGCACTACATAATGTTACTTATACAATTCTAACAGGTTAAGAATAGGTTATAAACTTACTTCTAAGTAGCCTTAAGAATACTTATATGCTTACTAGTTTTATATCCTTTCTAGCCTGCTTGCTTAGCTATATTTAAATAAGATTCTAGTTTTTCCTATACCTCTTTTAATATTTTACTATAGCATTGCACAATCCTAGCAGTAATTACTAGGTTTTTCTTATAGATTACCTAGTTTTAGGTATCTTTAGAGGGTTCGTGTTCTAATTATGTGAGAACAAGTTAGGAACACGTTTAGAACAGGTTCAGAATATGTTTACTTATATAAGAGGAGGTTAGCAAGCTAAAAGTATTCCTCTGCTGTTAATACCTATAGTAATTCACTTAGACGTAAAGAGGTAGTATTATCTAGCTCTCTTTTATATGCTTTGTGAATACTTCTTTATAGATGTACTTAACAAAATCTTATACAAGATTAAAGTTGCTAGCGCTAGTTACACTTATAGGGATTAATTAACTAGAGATAGCGCCTAAGTCCTAGAAACAAGTTAGAAACACGTTACAAACATGTTGTGGTGCGCTGTAAAACTTGCCTATTATCTGCTTGTTACATATGTTAATAGTAGTCCTATAGAATCCCTGTAAGTAAATATGCCTCTATAATACTTGTCTTTTTATAAGTGCTTTACACTTCTAAAAGAAGTTAGTAATAGCAACTTAATACATCTTAGTTGTGTCCTTATCTATAATAATTTAGCTAAGTGTAATAACTATAATATGTTAGAAATGTGTTACAAACCTATTCTTAATACGTACACTTCTTTTCCTATAGGTAGAAGATTACTATTAGAATCTCTGCCTATGCCCTATACAACCTCTTATATAACATATCTATCTAGAACGTGTCTTAATCTAATAGAATTGATGCCTGCTCTTTAAAAAGGCAAATAATTAAGTTACCTAAGCTTAATATAAAGATTTACTATATATACGCCTATAGTAACGTGTTAACAACGTGTTCTAAACCTGTTCTCTTACACCACGTATAGTTTTAGGATCCTAATGCTTTGTCCTCTACTTATAGTATACTCCTCTAAGGCTACTCTTAAATAGGAACTGTAGAAGCTTTTCACGCTTTATAATACGCGAGATTTTATCTTTATTTGCAAAGCTAATATGCATTTCTTTAATAGAATAGAAACCTTTAAGTTAGAGATAGGTTTAGAGCTAGGTTAAGTTTAGGAACTAGGCTATAATAAGTTAGGAATACATTTATAATAGGTTGCAAACAACTTATATTGCGTAAGCTATAGAGTAAGTATAGGCTACAACACCTTTACTACTTCCTTAATATTACTATTAGATAGTGTTAAGGGAGGAGGAGGTATATATGTATATATACTAAAAGAAATAATAGCAAAAAAAGGTATTACTACTATATCTATTAGTATAATTACTTAGAAGGTAACTTTACACAGGATTTTAAATAGAGATCCTTGCCCTTATGGATAATTAACGCCTAGAACATGTTAGGAATATGTTAGGAATAGGTTGCAATATGCCTACCACACTTCTTTATCTAGCTTGACTGTGGCTTAACCACAGAATATAAAGCAGGACTACTAGAAAGATTTAATATCTCCCTAGTTAGAAGACCTTGTAGATATGTAGAGTCTACCTCTAGTAGTACCTAACTAAAATAATATTTTTTCCTAGTAGTAGATATTAGGCTATAGTTCTAACAGCTAATGTATAGTTAAGCCTGTTCTACAATTTACTAACTTATTGTTAACACGTTTTAAACATGTTTAAGTTTCGCTCCCTACCTAATTTACTATAGTCCTTATTATAGGATAATAAGATACCTAGTAGTCCTTATAAATCCTTAAAGAGAAGCGCTTAATAAGGCTATAATAATAGCTTCTTATTTGTAGTTCTCTTTATAGAATTTTCTTAGGTACTATACTTTTTAAGGTTTAGATCTAATTATATAATGCGTTATTAATAATATAATAAGAACACGTTTGTAACGTGTTCTTAAGATACTTACACGCTTTTACCCTAGAGCATTAGTATTTATACTAGCTTGCTAGCTAGCTATTAAAGAATAGTAAAGTTGTAGGCCTGTTAAGATAGACAGACTAGCGGGAGTATTGTACCTGCTAGAATTAGAACAATTTAAGAACGTGTTCTTAACGTGTTACCTATATAGCCTGCACAAGCACCTCTTCTCTTATTAGGTAAGAGCTATCTTTATATTGCTAAACTAGTATTATATACCTATACCCTTAGCTATATAATTAAGGGTATGCTAGGAGAATAGCTACATGCTTAATAATTGCTAGTGTAAGTAGTAGTCCTTAACTATTACTATAAGTAAGGTATATATTGTGCCCCTGTAATATGTTACTAACCTGTTCTAAACTTGTTCTATTTACTTTCACTTACTTCCTTAACGCTACTACTACTATCCTCCTCTAGCACTTTATATAGTTGCCTAAATTCATCTCTAATATTACTATCTAGTTTAGATATGTTGTCTAGTACTACTGTACTAAACTCTAGTATAGTATTTAGGAACGCCTGTATATTATTAAGAACAGGTTTAGAACACGTTTAAAAAAGATAGTAACAAAAACTGCGTTTACTTGCTTAAATTACCCTAATTTATACTCGACTATAGGCTAGTTTATATAACCATGAAAATTTGCCGCTGTGACGTGGACTTGAACCTACAGGGATATTCTAACCACTCGGAGTAAAGCCCAAGTCGCCCGACGCTAAACCCATGGTCATATGACATGCCACCACGTCGTGTGTTTGGGATGGTTGGCAGCATGATTGGCAGCATGTGCCTGAGCGCATGGACGCACTCGACACAGAAGCCCAATGTGCAGGGGTACGAGCACATGCCCAGGTGCCATTCCGCTGCTATTTTCCGCTGCTATTAACGTTGGGTGGATGTAGCTGCCGTACCGTACCGCCACCATCAAGTTTTTGGGTTGAACGCCATGGCTCATGCTCCCGTGTGGACACGCAGAGGTCTACAGCAGAGCAGGTCTACCAATACAGCAAAACAATTCTAGTACATGCTCATTATCCAGGCGAGGGTGGCGGCTCATGCCTTCGGTCTGGTTGGCGAACTCCGTCATCTCCATACCTGGTAGAGTGGTAAAGCCGGTTTGTGGCTCGTCGTTGGTCCAGCGCCATCCTGGTCGATACCGGTAGAGCAAAAGTTGCAAACACCTGGGCCTATAAGCAACAACATCAGAGTTCCGCGGACGCCTATACAACGCACAGGTCTTACCTGGTGACTCATCAGAGAATCCAGAGCACGATCTTAGCAACTGGGTCGAGTCGCTGGAGAGGAGCTGCAGTGAGAGTCAGTGAAGGTGCCATTGCCATGAGATCGCGTCATGAGAAGGTGTCGAGAAGGCTCGACCCTGTTTTTGATCAACGTCTCTGTCCCATGTTGCGTTTGATTGGCTCACAATCTGTTTCATTTGCGCTTTCGCATCCGCGCCATTGGGCCGGAATTTGCTTCGTTGAACTGCAGTTCGTGTCAAAGAATCGGCTTTTGCAACTTGGAGCTTACTTGACGAATGATTTGTAGTCGTTTGTATATGAAATCAAACGTCATAATCCTTTGCTTCTCATACTCTGCATTTGACAATGATGCATTCAGCATGCGTTGGAGTTTTTTAGTAGGGGGGGGGTTTTTTTTTGGATGAGATTCGATCCAGCAATTAGAGACTCGCATGATGATTAACTAGGCCAATCATGAGCAGGATACGCTCCAGTGATCCTCTTGCCGTGCCGGCTATACCATCCGAGTCGGGGCGTCTGTTCTCTCATCCTTCAGTCCTTGCATAGCAGATCAGATAATGCTTCCCTCGCTCCTTTGCGAGTCAATGCCACGCACACACACACACACACACACACACACACACACCGCATAGATCATCTAACCGACCCCACCATCAGTTTCTTGCATGAAGCAAGTCATCCGATCGTCTTCCAAACAATGCTAAGGGCGACGGGAATGATCAGTCGCCAAAGATCTCATTTCCTGTGCCACGTGGAAGCCACACTGTGCACCCTGCTTTCCCTAGGTTTTTGAATCGGGTTCCGGTCAGCGAAAAAGCTTGTGTGATGTTCAAAGTTGCCCAATCAATCATGGAAAAAGTCGACGTAGCCAGTGTGACCTTCCAACATCCAGGAACAGTGAGAGTATCCAGAAGAATGCGGGTTTTAGTCGATGAGGCCAAGCAATGGTACATTTATAGCTGGGATCAGCGATGGTCATCCCACTGCTAATACTGCAGCACATCGGCTATATGCTTCAACGTATTTCCGAATAGCTTTGCATCGCAGACTCACAATGCCATGACTCTTTGACACTTATAAGGCTTCCGAACCCTGCGGTAGGATTCGCAACTGAGCGCTCGCCTAGTCCATGATCATAGCCGTAGCCGACTCACGTACTCGACCTGACTCTGATCCAAACCTAGAGCCAACGCACTGACAGCGGGCGGGAAAAAGGACAATGACGCAAGCCATTGAGAATCTCCGTACCGTGCCCCAATTTTTTAATTGGCAGAGACGTGATTCCCACATTCAGTCAATGGTCCTTCTATTGGCCCAGACGACGATTCCCAAAGGCATTGGTCAGAATTCCCAGACATTCCCTATAGAAGGATTTCTATATGGGCTTGTTGAATGCGATGCTCACCGTTCAGCAACTGCATCTCAGGAGGACCATGTATCACTTCAGACGTTATATCAGGGCCTGCTATTCGTATTGGGCTTTTGCGAAAAGTCTTGGGAATCGCGTGCTGCTTTTCAACGGCGTTATGCGATACGAATCTTAGTCAGGTTCGTATTTGCTTGGGTGCAGTCGTGGCCACGTTGCGCGCATCGGTGAAGAGACTGTGCTAGTAGAGTACCTAAGCGTTGTGCTTTAGGTACTAAAGTCAATTCCAGTGCCGAAAGCGTTGTGTATACATAGGGGATACTGCTCAATAGTATAGGCTTAGAAGATGATCCGTAGTCAAGTTTACGTTGTGGCGACAGGGAAGCACTGGCGATCTTGCCGGACTTCTGTGGCTGTCGAATCATATTTCGCGCAATGCATGGCCATGGTGGTGGCTTGAGCTACGACCTGCATCAGGCTAAGGCACTGTGAGCGGTATATTATGGCTTTGATTGCAGGCCCAACTGCACATTTGTGCGACATCATGGTAATTGGACGGCTTATCAATGTACGGGATGATTTTCTGGCTTAATTCTGTCCTCGGAGTGCGCGGTGCACTGTAGTGTGGGCTATCTGGCTTGAAGAACCCGATGGTGTTGGGGCTACCGGTACGTAGGTAGTGGCCGAAGTGGTTTCGGCTTCTAAGTACACTTTCACAGCCCCGTGTCGAGAGTGTTGCCATGCTGTGTAAACATCCAGCTGGTATGGCGATGCGTTCAATTGAAACAGACAATGAAAGAGATTCAAATGGGTATTGCGCAACTGTTCGCTCTGCCGCTGCGCCGTAAGAGTAGTGTAAAGGAAACTCCAAAAACAATTCGAGAAGATAGGCCGGACGATTTTTGTCATGACTTCTTGCAATCGCCTGCGACAAGTCAATATACGCCCAAAAACAGCAAAGTGACGGATCCACCCACTACACTCTTCGGTGAGTCTGTATTCACTGTGAACATGGTCAGCATGGCGAGGAATCGAACAGCATAGCCTTCTTACATTGCAACGATATTCAAGGGACACCTCTTGTGGGTTGCTTGGTATGTTGTACACCATGCTCTGACAATGAAGCGGAGGTGTCGGCATTTGTACTCTACTTGAGTGTAGTCACACATGGTACGAATAGACTGCCAGTGCTATTCACAATATAGGTCGAGGACGAGCCGTGATTGATGGGAATTGGGTGGGAATATGCCAAAGTAGAGTAGTACGTGATCCTGCTGGTATGTGTCGCTGAAATGTTAGTTTAGCATGCAGCTGCGTGGCGGTCCATTATGTATATAGTGGCTTTTGCAGCCAGAGAATTTCAGTCGTCAGGTACCCGCACCCTCGTGGGCCTGGCCTGTCATAATGGAACCTGGATCACATAGCATGCATCATGGGAACGGTCATGATTTACTCAGCGGATCCAGGCCTCCGATGTGGACGAGCATTTGGTCCGCAGACTCGAGTGGATGCTTCCACCGTTTGAAGTCCCATGCTTCCGGCAAGGCGCGGGCACGACCAGGATGCCGAGAGAATCTACAGGGGAGCAAAACCATTGCGGAGTAAGGTGTTTTGCGTGCTGTAAAGAAACCCCAAGGCTTGCCCTCAGGTTAAAGGGACCAACGGACAAGCAAAGCCTGCATGTCACTGGCTGACGGATGATGGAATTCAAGGATGCCAGCTCCTCGCCATCATGACTAGCGTGTGCTAAGTCTGGACTTACCAAACGTGCGCAAGACCAGCCGATCTGCGACTAGACACGACTAGGTAGACACGGTTCCACGTTTGACGCACAGCACGGCGACGGCGCGTGGGGTGGTGCGCCGTTGGGAAACGCCCTTGTTCGTGGGTTGAAGCTGCAGTTGTTTCCATGTCCGAATACTGGGATCACCCCTCCCTCCGGTCCGCTCTCTCTCGTCGTACTAGTCAAAGCTGCTTGGGCTCAAGTCAATCTCCCACCATGTATCAGCTCGTCACTGTCCTACTGCTTGCTGGTCCAAATCCATGTTGTGCACGCGCTCACCATGCTCCTCTCTAGGCTGTGTTTCCGGTGCTGCATAGGTACGCTGGCCCGCCTCCTCGTTCGCGATTGCGTATGCGCAACTCCGTATGATCGCTCCATCGCCCTAGCTTCCGCCTTTCACCAGTCTTGTGCGACGCACGTAACAGTTGTGGTTGAGTGCGAAGATCTCTGGAGTACCGTACCTAGCTGTAAATGACCCAGCACGCTCACCCATGGCCTGTGAATCACTCCACGAGGCTGAGCTCCTTGTCGTGTTGTGACTACTACGCCCGCTCGTTTCTTCCACTGACTATATGTGTGACTGTCCAGAGATATCCACACCATTCAGCCACAATCCTGGCCCAACTTTCTTCAAATGCGCGCCATATACTCTTTCAGCATCTCCGACTCTTCCTGCTTGGGTCTAGAAATATTTCGTGCAGAGTGCTGGTCTTCACCATCGAAACTTGATGATGCCCCGCCGACGTTCCGACCTGTGATAATAACATGTCATGTTTTGTCGTTGGGCCGAACACTTTTACGATTGTGGAGTACTCCGTAGCGGAAATAAGACGCTATATATTCCAGGATCCCAGATTGCAGCTCGACAACGCCGAAAAGCAGAGGCGAAGCAAAGGGCCGCACTCCAGCTGTCCCCATTCCTCACAAGCTTGGCAATATCTCCTCGACTTCTGAGAAGCGCGCCGTTAACTATACGAGTATTTTACTTCCCGCTATCCAGTTTCGTTAGCTGCCAGTCGACGTGGATTATCTTCTTTGTTGATTGGCAACAGAGACGACGTGCCAAGTTGCCACTATTTAATTTCTTCATTGGTAACAAAGAGGACGTGCGGCAGCAAATAATGGAGAGATACACTTGGAACTGATTACGATTGCGGTCTTGCACCTCTCGGTGGTAAGCGTACAGACTGCGAAGAGATATTTCGCTTGGAGGTTCTCCGGATCATTTCGCTGGATTTGCAAAGAAAAACGCGATATTGCATGCTTAGTTGCAGCCTGTCTTCATTTAGCACAATGATTCTTCAGTGGCATCCAAATGACCAGATCAAACTGTATCGCCGGTGCAGTATACGGACCCCTTGTGAACCTATGATTCTGTCCATTCAGGCTGAACTATTGACAGGGATTACCCACAGAGAAATCCCAATTGTTTGGAATGGCCGAGCTGCTAACGACCCTATGGTGCCGTGCCGTCTTTTTACACCAGATTATCAAAATCATTGGTGGCTGTTGTAGTGGGACACTCTGGTATGTGTCAGTAGCCTTCCGGTCCAAAAGCTCGTCAGCATGCAACATAGAACGTCACTCGTGGATTATCCGAGGACCGATCTCAACGGCCTCAGGGAAACCCCCCGTCCCGTATCGAGGTCGGCCGTTAAAGCCATCATCATCATTGATAAATCGTTAATCGGCACCATTGATTTGGGACGCTGATGTGATTATGCAAGATACCAATTGCGGATATATAACCATAGCGATTAGTAAGGATCATGAGAATTCTCCATTGGCCTCGCTGGCATCCAGCCAACCACGACACATTTCTACTGCCTGGAGGACGAGTCAGCATATCTACGTCAAATAACTTTAGCAAATGTCACATACCCGTCCCCATTTCTTGAACATCTTATCACCTTCTTCCTTGCTGATATCGGGCTCAAAAATCATACGATCTTTTTGGTTAATGCCTTTCAGTTCGTCAAATTCTTTCCAGACGCCAACTGCAAATCCGGCAGCTATCGCTGCACCAAGTGCAGTAGTTTCGCGCATGGCTGGACGATCGACGGGGATACCGATAATGTTCGCTTGGGTCTGCTTGCCCACTTAGAGATGCAGTCTTGAAAAGAAAAGTCAATTTTTCCTGGTGGGGGGTGAACACGTACCTGCATGCATAGGTTCGAATTGCTCATGCCGCCATCAACTGCAAGCATGTTTAGCTTATGCCCGCTATCAAGTTCCATGGCATCTAAAATGGCTCTCGTCTGAAAGCAAGTCGCTTCAAGGGTAGCACGTGCTATGTGACCCCGCTCGGTAAATTGTGTGATACCAAAGATTGTGCCCTTTGCATCATCTATCCAGTAGGGAGCGAACAAGCCACTGAATGCTGTAACAAAGACGCAACCACCATTGTCCTTCACTGATGCTGCAAGGTCACTGATTTTGTGGGAATGCGTAATGAAGCCCATGTTGTTCATAAGGAACTTCACACCACTGCCTGCGACGGCAATACTGCCTTCAAGTGCGTAGACTGGTTTCCGGTTGCCGCCAAAATCGTAGGCCACAGTAGCGAGCAGGCCATGGGTAGAGATCACCGGCCTTTCCCCCACGTTGTACAACAGGAAGCATCCGGTTCCGTATGTGTTCTTTGCAGAGCCGGGGGTAAACCCCTGTTGACCGACAAGAGCTGACGACTGGTCACCCAGGCATCCTGCTATGCGAATGCCTTTCAGTAGACCAGTTCTCAAGAATCCAAAGGCGTCGGGTGACGACGAGGGAACAATCTTGGGCAAGTTCAACTTTTTGCGGTCGAATTGGAAAAATTCGAGGAGCTTGTCGTCGTACTGAACGGTGTGCCTGCGGTAGCGTAAGCGCGTGCCCTGGGATGTGCTCGACAGTGCCTCGGTCTTACAGGTTCATGAACATCGTTCTCGATGCGTTGGTAGCGTCGGTCACGTGAATGTCGGCTTCTTTCCCGCCATTGAGGTTATAGAGGATCCATGTATCAATGGTACCAAACGATAACCGGCCTTCGTCGTAGGCTTTCCGAGCAGGCTCCACGTGGTCCAGAATCCACCGTAGCTTAACCGATGACGGATAAGTTGACAATGGGAGCCCGCATATATTCAGCAATTCGTCAGCCCCTTTGCGATTTTTTAGCTCACGAACCAGCCCTTTCGTCCTCGTGTCCGGCCTGCATGCGGCAGATCAAGATCAGTACACGACTCTATGCAAGACATAGCAATGCTACTCCACTCACCATGCGATTGCATTATACAGTGGTTCTCCAGTCTTGGTGTCCCAAACAACTGTCGTCTCACGTTGATTGGTGATACCAACTGCTTTGATATCAGAGACGTCATGCCCTTGATCCAGGAAAATGTTGGTCGCTCGATCAATGCATTCCTCCACCGATGTAATAATCTCTTTGGGGTCATGTTCGTGCCATCTGTGCTGATCAGAGATGCATCCTGTGATGATTGATGCGATAGCTTACCCAGACTGGGGATAATATTGCTTGAATTCGATCTGGTGTTGCGCAACAGGGTCTCCTACACCGTCGAAGATGATGAATCGAGTGCTTGTGGTTCCTTGGTCGATAGAACCAATGAAGAATTGCTTCAGTCTACCCTCATCGAGTGGAACACCTTCTGGTTCGGTGATTTCCTCCTTGGGTACTGGCTGCGGGTTCACATCCTCTTCGGTCGGTCTTGGGTTTGACATGGTGAGGCGTTGATGTTCTCTTCTCCAAGACTTGACAGAATTGCTTCTGCTGAGGTTAGGAAATTTTTCCGTGGGCGATGAAGCGTACTGAAGAAGGGCTTTGTGCGCAGTGGTGAGGTGAACGGTGCAGGCTTGCAATGGAGGCCGCAAGGTGAATCCGTCCCTAGAGGCCTGGAAGAATTCTTGGTGGGGCCCAGAAGAGTGATAGTTAGTCCGGACGCGTTCGCAGCGCTGGCGAGAGCTGTGTTGGTTGGCGAATGAGATGTAGATGTGCTCGCTATAGCCGAAGTGGTTGCTCCGAAAGCGCTTCGTAGCCAGAGGATTTCGCGATAATGAAGACCGAAGTTTGGATGCGATTCAAAGGGTGGTGTCGATGCAATGGAGTCGTGGGTGTAATGTAAGCAACGTGGAGACGGAGGGCATCGCAGGAATTGCTCGGAGGTTGATCGGCAGGCGACAAAGTCCAAGCATGCGGCGCCTCTCTGTGTTGCGAGTATGACGCTCGTGGGGAGTGTGGAGGGGGTGTGTGGTGTTTGCTTTAGTACGGTAAAGCGGGGAAACTCCAAGACGACAACAGCCGTCGACGGCGCGGGCGGCCCTGGCTTGTCCATCACATGGGAGTTCAAATACTTCAGCCTCTTTCGATCCCGCATCAGGCATACCTTCCACTTCCTTTGCCCATCCATCGTCTCCATCGTCGATGAATCGGTTGCTGGCCGCTGTTGGGCGTTGGCATTGGCCATTCATGCGCGCGTACGCGCTCAGTATGATTTCAGACACAGTGGGCCGCCCACGTACGGTCCACTCGAGGCCCTGACCTGTTCCGCTGTCCGGCGCAAAAGATGCGGCTCAAGTCTCCACACGCCCACAAAATCGTGTGCGAAACGGATGGAGCTCTTTGGCAATGCGCTGTAAGAGTGGAAAGCTACCGACGCCAAGCCATGGTGGCTTCTTTTGGCGCTCCCGACTCCGAGGAATTCCCTACTCAAAAGAGGAACGCGATCACAACACAGATGACAGACGCGTTGCCCACGGAAATCGGTCAAGAGGCTCGCAGCACAACACATCGGCCAACATTGCTTTCTGTATCCTACGAGCTCTGAGCCAACCGCTTCTTCTGCCATGTGAGTGAGACTCGTGATACATGGCACAAGTGTGCAGACGTATCTGGTAACCCGCTCAGGGGGCCAACAGTGTTGTTGGCGAGACGAGATACTTTACAAACTGCGAATTTTACCATTGAGGAATCCGACAACGATAGGACACTGTACGGTGTGCCTAGAAGTAGTCCGAGGATACATCCTCTAGGGTCCTGCCGATGCGCGTGGAAGAGTTGGCCCAGATCGGACACCCAGTCCAACTACGCGTCGAAAATTCCAAGAGTCCAAAAGTCCAACAGTCCAAAAGTCCAAGAGCCCAAGAGTCCAAACCTTTTGGAAGCTCCACGTCTGACAGTCACAGAGGCCGAGAAACTTCCGACACGTGACGTAACCTTCCCACATGTACCATCACAAACATGACGTCAGTCCGCGCTCAACGCGTGCAGCTTGTTGCGGGGAGCTTGGAACGTCGACGTTGGACAGTCGCCAACAGTCCAAGAAGTACACATCTTCTATCTCTCTATCCGGCCCTGATTTCGCCTCAGGATTATAGTTGTGATTGTGCCCGGGAAGTCGTTGAGTCGTCGTGCCACTGCCACCGTCCTACCTTTTACCCCTCTCTCTACCTCAACGTCCACCAAACCAACATCCTACCGTAATCACAATGTTCCGCAATGGAGCCTCCCGCCTTGCATTGAGGTCGATGGCAGCACCCAAGTCGCGTCCAGTAGCCACAATCCCACGCACAGCGCCATCGTCGCAATGGCCCACGCCATACGGATCTATGGCTTCGAGGAGACCGCAACCTGCGCACTTGAAACCTGTACAAGCTGCTTTGCTGCGCCGCGCCATCTCAGAGAAGATTCCAAACGAGCAAAAGGAAGCCGAGAAGAAGTACAGCCGGGAAGTGATAAAACCTACGCCAGAAACTGTTTCCTCGACGTCATCAACACACCCAATGTTCTCTGAGGTGGCTACGGAGAACCCAGATCGCGAAGTCGACATGATGGCCGGTGTGAAGCATGACGTGGTAAGTCGGACAAGACGGCGGCTCCACTCGTCCTGAACCATCATACTCACTCATACAGGGAACCATCAAAGCCACCTTCAGCCTCGCAGACGTCCCCCGAGAAGCATATTACATGGGTCTTGCTGGTACATTGCCTTACCTCGCGACCTCATTCTCGACTGTCTACCTTGCCTGGGAACTCAACCACGCGACTGCCGGCTACGGATTTCTCATTTCAGAGGCCGACGCTATATACCTCTTGCACTTGCTCGAGCCTCTGCAAATCGGTTATGGGGCATCAATCCTGTCTTTCCTAGGTGCCATACACTGGGGCCTCGAGTGGGCTGGCTACGGGGGCTACCAAAGCTACAAGCGGTACGCAATCGGTGTCGTGGCGCCTGCTGTCGCCTGGTCGACGCTCCTGATGCCTATTGAGGGAGCGCTCATCGGACAATTCATCGGCTTTGTCGCACTCTACTACGTCGATACAAGTATGATCTTTTCAGGCACCCTTTTCAGGGGATTTGGCTAACAAAAAAATCCCTAGGAGCTGCGGTTCGCGGCTGGACACCTCCATGGTACGGTGTGTACCGGTTCGTTTTGACGTTCATCGTCGGCGCCAGTATCATCCTCAGTCTGATCGGTCGCGGAGAGCTTCCGGAACACATCCCTGGCTCGACAGAGCGCGGAAGGGCTCTGGAGGAGGAAGGTTCGTCTGCAGAGAAGCTTGCAAAGAGTGAAGAGGTTCGTGCGGAAAAGAAGAAGAATGCCGCACGTCGTGATGACCGTGGGACCGACTGAGCGCTGTCCTCCACGGCGTCTGTCTTACTGTTCTTTTAATCGGGCGTATTGGGACAAAGCCAAACTCCTTGCTTTCACTTTAGGAGTCGTTACTTTCTTAGCATCAATCTTATGTAGTTATAAGCGTTTCTCTAGGCTTCAGTATTCGTATAAATTTTCCCCAATTTGACGGAACAATTCACTTTGTGCGTGATACATATACATACATGTAAAGAGTATTGCGTCAAGAGCCCTGGTTCGATTATTGCCCCAATTCAGAATCCAAACACTATGTATGCCATGAATCGTCATGTTCAATGCATCACCTCTACCCCATTGCCTCGACACTCAGCCCTTCGCGTTCCATCGATCATTATACGCATTCACAGCAACGGCGACCTGTCTGTAGAACCAATTCCTACTCCCTTCATCTCCGACAGGGATGAACGGCCCATTTGTACCTCCTTTGAGCGTGATCCCCAAGCCTGTCCTCTCCTTACTAATAGTCTGAACATCCTTGAGTGGCACATCCCACTCCGTCTGCAGCTTCTTCATGCGCACCATCATGACCCTGTTGTATGTGAGCATGACAAGCATCTCCTTGTTCTGCAGCTCGAGATGGGCAATGTAGTCTTCGCTGAAGTGTTTGCCGTTGTCGAGCGTCTTGAGCCAGAACTGGCCCAGTGCTTCGCGTTGCGAGTACGGGCGTACGACGCCATCTGTTCCGATAAAACGGGTCAGGCGCACGCGGTCAAGGCCTTCTTGGTCAAAAACGGTAGTGGTATTGCGGACGCCCTCGGCCATGTTGGAGGCGAGGTCGAAGGCGCCGATGGCCGCTTTGGTGGGTACGCCGAGGAGACCTTTGCCCACACCCTTGACAAAGCCAAGTGCGCCTTCCTTTTCCGCGCCTTGGATGGGGTGTCGCGCAAGGCCACCAAGTCCACTGGCAAGACTGCTCGCAAATGCATTGCCACCTGATGTTATACCATACAACGCATGCTTGGGTCTGTTTCGGGAACGCGACATACGGCGCTGATCCTGGAACTCCTTGTCCAGTGTCGCTGCCGAGAGACCCTTGGACATGCTGCCAGTGAATTTGGCCATACTGTCTGAGAATCCAAATACAGACTTCTTGACAAAGCTAGAGGCACCCTTTGCGATACCGATACCAAGCTCCTCAGGACGGTCGGATTTGACCAGACCCTGATATGGCTCATAGAAGATATCAGCAACACCAGAGCTGATGTTATTGAAGAGACCGACTGGGTTGCCCAGGAAATCCGCAGACCCAATGATGACATGGACCTGCCGCAGCGATTCTTGTACATAATGATTCTTGATGTTGTTGATTAATGCGCTAGTGGAGATACGAGCATTTTCCAGCATCAACGAGTTGTAGCGGACAGGCGCATCGTTAACATTGCCAATCGACATCGTTAGAACGTTGACTGCGAACATGAAAGGGTTCGAGGTGCTCATGGTGTCCTCAGCATTGATACGCTCGGTACGAACGAAGGACAGATCAATTTGCATGGGCTGGAGATGCAGCAGCTCGAAATAGACGTCTTGGCCCGACTGCTCCTGTTTCGGTTCAGGCAGGTCGAGAGCCTCGTCCCATAGTTTGCCCTCTTTCTCTTCGGCCCATGATGCTCCAGGAATTTTTGCAAAGTCAATCATCGCAAAGATGAAGTCTTCATCGATCTCGACGGTCATTTGTTGCAAGAGGAAGGTGAAGTACTTGATGTATAGCACACCATAGGAATCGTCCTTGACCTTGGTGATACTTGTTTGAAAGATGGGGTGGGCTTCCATTTCTTTTCCTGTCTTGGGTACAACACTGGGGTAGAAGATGATGGGGAAAATGCCGCCGTAAAGTTGATTATCAACCTGAATCCACTTGACCTGCATGTTGACCATCTGGTATAACGGCGAGTCGGAGTACTTGAACTCCATATCGCGAAGTGTAATGTAGACCAACTCTTTCAAGTGGCGATTGACGAGCGAAATACCGATACCAGCAAGTCGCAGTTGTGCCTTGAATGTCACATCGGTGTCCATATCCTTGACCTCGAAGCCAGTCGCTGTAGAGGAGGACGTAGCAGATCTCTGCTTGTACATGCTCTTAGACGGCTTGTAGTTTGAGATTTCTAGTGTTTGTGTTGGACCTGATGCAACGACGTTGAGGTCAATGACCTTCATACCACCACGTTCTTGGCCGGGTGGGATCTTGAAGGGTATGAGAGGTCCAATTTCAGCAAGCTTAACATGTCGCTCGCGCCCGTTTGCGCTGATGATAATCTCCTTGCGTTTTCCAGCAGGGAAGTCCCAGGCATATGGCATGATGCTTCGTGGAGGTAAGCGGTATCTGATTGGTCGGAACCCAGAGCCGCGATCATCTTCGTCCTCATCCTGGTTTGGATTCGCTTGCCAGTAAAGGAACTCTTGATCACTCATATTCTTGAAGGAGAATGGCCAGTGCTTTGACTCGACACTGATATGGCAGAAGATCGTTGCTTGCTCCATTAATATGTCGATGCGAACGAGCTTCTGGCGCTGACCCGCTTTGGAGAGCTTGACATGCACATTGCCAACATTTGAGATATGGAATGGCGACGACCACTGATTGTTGACACCAGGATAGCAGAGAGAAAGCTGTGGGGCTCCTCCTTGGCGCAGCCATCGAAGAGGTAGAAGCTCTCCGTTCTTCAGCGTCATCCAATCCGACTGGCCCGGCTCGCGAATAAGTAGCTCTTCTTTGACCTTGTTCTTGACGATGAATCGTGGAGCTATAGATACGGTTTTGGTCAGATTATACTTCCCTTCACCCTCGGAAACAGATACACCAAGGTGCATTTCTGACCGGGCTTTAGTGTTGGGTAGAGCCACCGTGTATGTGCTTCCAATCGCATCAAAACTCTGAGGCTTACTCCAGCCAGAGTCGCCTGCTTTGATCAAAGCACGGTTCTTCTTGTTATCGGTTGGATAGGAGAACATGAAGGGTAGGGCTTTGCCGGTCTCGCCATGGCTGTCTGAGATGACACCTTGCCCAGCAGCGGCCTTTGCTTGTCCCATGAACTGTTGTGAACGGACGTCGAGTTGGATTCCTGTGCGATTCAAGATGATATATGGACTGTAAATTGCGACTTTGAAGGCACCTCCACCATCTGGAAAATTGCTATGGCACCTGTTAACCTGATTTCCTGTTTTGCGGGACTGAAACTTACTAGAAATGCATATTCAAATGCAATATTGTATCGTTATCATCCTTGACTTCTAGGATCTTCTCCCTTCGAAAGCTCTCTCGGTCGGTGGAATTGATGATACCGAATTTGCTGGGCTTGAATGGCCCGTCTTGCATCTCTACACTAAGGAGCAACAAATGTGAAAGCTCAACAACGTGAACTGGACTGATACCTCCCTTTCTAAGGAAATTTGTCCAGTCTTTCTTGGTGTTGCTGTCGTAAATTCTATACTTGAAGTCGTATGGTAGCAGATTATGGATCTCGACGGGTGCCTGTAAACGAAGTCGCATGTATGGATAGACACCAGTCAAGGGGTCCTTCTTGTCATAGGTTGCATGCATCTGGAAATAGAATGGCGGGGCGTGTTCGTCTTGCTCACTGCGGCAGGTGATCGTTCTAGTAGGACGCTTGAGAAGATCCTTCCAGAATAGCTGTTCATTTGACCAGGCGTAGCCGAATCCTTGATCAGGACGCACAACTATCGAATGCATGTGGCAAGCACCGACTGGTGCCGGTCTTGCATCACCCGGCGCAATCTTGTCGATCTTGAGAAGATGACCCTCATCGGGGCTGAACATGCCGAGCTCGATCGGTATTTGTGTGTTGTTCTCGACGAGTAATGGAGAGCGGATAGTTATGTTCTTGATGTTGTCTGAGCCAAGTTTCACCTCGACCAGGACGCGGTGCTGTACCCTGTCTTGCTTGGGCTTCAGATTATACAAGAATTCGCCTTCTCGATGGACTGGAATACGTGGTAGGGTGTCAAAGCCACTGCCCTGCAATCTAACCCCGAGCATACCAGTTGCAGCATCCGTGGACAATGTCTCACGGGTTGACATGGGATCTTCGAACCGCCATGGCTGCTCCTCACCATCCTCAAGCTTAGCTGCATAGCCTTCCTGCTCCTTCCCCTCTGCCCATACGTCAAGACTGAACCCAGTATGGTTGCGAATACGGTATGGTGCATCGCTACCACGAGGTTTGGACAATATGTCCTCGTCACTGGTAAGAAAGTCGAAAGATTTCGAAGCCAAGGCAATAGTAGCAGCCGTTACTGTGAGTTCCATAGATTTTCGTGAGTAAAGGTCAACCGTGATCTTGTCTGGGTCTTGATCTTTTGCCATGTGGAACCCAACAGTCCAGGGCTCGATCAAAGGCTCCCATGCAGACTTAGAGAAGTTGTAGACATTAATCAGAGTATCAAGCGAGGTATCAGCGACCATCGCTCCGGACCAATCTCGTACATCGACGCCGAATTTCTTCACGCGCCAGTCCAGCATAGGCATCTCATGAACGTCGCCAATGAGAACGACGCGTATACCTTCGATATTGATGTGCATTTCCTCTCGTCGGATTACGGTGGAAGCCTGCTGTGGCGCTTGAAGTTCTGCGCCCTGTCGGCTTGATCGCTTGGTGGTTGCGATGGACTTTGTGCGAGGCCTCTGCGACAGAGCCTTACCGCCCACGGATGTGCCCTTCTTGGCTGTTGTGGCAGACGTCAAACTTTGTGCATCCGCAGAAGGTAGTCCTTTAGCATCATTTCCTGACATTGCTGATGCCCGGTTGACAATTTGCATGGCTAAGAGGATGTCCCTAAGCGATAGTCGCAGCACCAAAGGTTCGATATCGACAGCAATGCTTGCCGTTGCTGACTTAGATCCCGGTACACCCATATCCAGTGCTGCTTGAATGCTAAAGTCATCAAGTATACGCATACGGTTTGTATCGAAGCGATCCATACGGCATAGGAACATGCCAACCTTATCAACCTGTAGCGTCATTGCCTGTTGTTTGGAGACAAGTACTTGCTTTGTTCCTAGCACGATAGCTTCTGAACTGGCTAAAGCTGGATTGGCGATAAGCACAACCTGTGCATCCACCAGGTTGACTCGGAAAGAAATATTCATGGTGGTATTTGTAGACTTGGGTCTAGCTTGTGGCCTCTCGATGGCCTGCGATCCGTCGGGCAACATGATCTCATCATCGCTGTCTGTATCCTCATGCTTCATTTCTTCCTCGACATTCAGTGGCTCATCTGTGACAAGACCTGCGTTGACAAATGCCTGTAATGCGAACAGATAATCTAACGCCAAGATTATCCTTGGACTATCAATCGTGAGAAGCGCTATCAGGTTCTTTTCTTGACCGCCTGAGATGGAAATGCTCGCCATGAACTGCTGTTTCACATCGTTGCTTATGAGCGACATGATCTTGCGGAACTTGTTGGTACCCTGGGTACGGCTATCTCGGATGGTGAACGATTGAACCACCAGCTCGGCTTCCATGGCTCCGTCACTGATCATGCGAATTTTGACGTTGGTATCATTCAGCGAGAATCTTGACAGACTAGCGGTCTCAACATCGCCGACTGGTTCACCGTCTTCTGATTTCACCAACTCTAGACCAATCATACCAACCTTGAAGACGAAATCTAGTTTTGTCCACTTGTCAGCATCAGTGTGCAGTTCAGGTGACTGTGATGAGACCATGTCTTTGGATGGCTCTTCTTTGCTGCTCTCTTTGTCTGTTAGTTGACGTATAGGGCCAGTTGTAGCCTCGGGTAATTCCGCCTGGACATCAGTATCAATGGTGTCGGTTTCTGTGGCGAACGCGGCTGGTATAGATCGTGATAGCTCCAAGGCAAATTTCATCTGCTCAGGAGTGAGTTGTAGGTTGATGTCCGACATCGAACCGTCTATTTCAAGATCAGGACGTTGCTGGTCGGCTTTGTGCTCAATCATTGTGATGTTAAAGTCAAGATCCACCTTGTCGATGAGTTCAAGCGACTCCGAGCGATCTTCATCATAGTGGAGATGAGAAGTAAGTCTGATATTCCTGATGCCTGCAGAGAGCTTGTTGGCAACATCTGCATTCTCTGAGTCGTCCAGTGGAACAAATGTGTTCTTTGCATATATCTCTCCGAGGTTTGCGGTGAGGGTATCACGGTCTGGCTTATCAGAGATTACCATTCGTGGGAACACCACAATCGGAGTGCTGATCACAATGTCAAAGTGCAACTTGGTGGCCCGTTGCTGAATTTGTGTCGCTTGATTTGCAGCAGCTTGGCGAGCAGCATTGAAGATTGCCTGCATTTTACCAAACTTTACGGCGAACTCCATGATCTTGCGGAACGGCTCTGTGAGGAAGTTGATTCTGATTGATCCTGTTTTCAATGCGACTGCCATGTCATACCCAGGATAGCTTTCCGACTCTGAGTCGAAAGTTTCATAGCTAAAGTCGGCCAGATTTTTGCCTTCTATCGTGACCAGATGACGGAGCGATGATTCTTCGGGAACGCCCTGATTGACATCGTCAACAAGAGACAGATTGCCAAGACGACCTCCGATGCGCATAGTTCCACCGTTGAGGAAGATACCAACGTCACCGGAGCTCAGACTAAGTGTCGCCAAACGGATCCCGTCGTTGTTCAAGATGACTGCGATACGTTTCAGTTCAGCTCGAATGCGAATTCTGTCCGGCTCTGCTTGTGCCTGCTTCTCGGTATCCTGTTGGTTGTCTGACTTTGCAGTCATTTGAGCCTGTTGATTCGGAGTTGGACCAGGATTCGTGAATGTGGCAAGAACGAAGTCCAGCAATGTCAGTAACGTTTTCCTGGTCACAATGAGGTTGATGGTAGAGACCGCAACATCAAGATTGATCGCAATTCCCTCGTATTTGGTCTGGAACTCTGGAGAATCCGCATTGACCTTGACAAACTTGAGGCTGAAGAGATCCTTTTGCTCATCGGCGAATGCGTCTTCTGAGGATATTATGTTTCGAAACTCTGGTATCGTGGAGTCTTCAACATGATCTTCCACGGCTAGACTGCGAAGGCTGACATCTGCACCCATTTGGAATGGCTCCTGGTAGAAGTCGAGGTCGAAGTGCTCCGCAATCAGCTCAGCCAGGAGCTGGTCAGCCTTTCGCCCTTCTGGATCTGACCTGTACAAGGAGCCCTGAAGCTTTTCGACTGTGAATTTGAACTCAAAATTTCGCTGATGCATATGGGCCTTCTTGACCTCCTCCTTGGCCTCTGGTGCATCTTCGAATTTGTCCTCTGATTCACTGTGGCCTTCCTCCTCCATTACCAACTCATGTTCCTGTGCAGAGAACTTCATGGATTTTGAGCGGGGCCTGCCCAGGGCATCCACGTTTGCTTTTCCATCGCTTGACAATATCAAATTAGAGGACCCTTTCGCACCTTCCATGACCTGCTTGCTCGGTGCATCATTGTCGAACTTTGGTATCGCGACATCTATCAGCTTCATCAGATTTTTGTATTTTGTGTCTGATATTGATGCGTGCAAGACCGGAAGGTTTCCCGAGACGCGAAACTTGGTGAGGTCAGATGCCTTGGGCACAATACAGATCTCGATCCTGAAGTCCATGTTGATTTTGTCTACTATGTGGAAGTTCTTCGTAGCAGACTCGGTCTCAAGCTGTGATCGTGTCTCCTCAATGGAGGGCCCAATCAGAACCTGTGTGGAATGAAGTTTCAGATTGAATTTATCGTACATTAAATTCTCCAATTTTCGAAAGTCGTCATCGGTGTAATGTTGTTGCTGCTTCCCTTGGATATCACGCAAAGTATTCTTGTCTACCAGTTCGCTGGTTACGCTGATGTGACCCGCATCCAGGATCAAGCAGTTGCTTGATTTCTTCGTTACGGAATCTGGTACGATTATAAGCGGTGCTTGCAGGTCTAGTTGCACGTTGATAGTTTTGTGCTCTGTAAGGGCGAATTCCAGCCCTGCACGCGTTTGTTGTCTGATGCCTTCAACGGTGGCGCCCGCTGTCTCCATAAGGGCGCCAATGGATTCCATGTGCCTCTCTGGAGGTTTGAAGAACTTTGCTACTTCCACAACGAATATTGGATTGTATACAAACTCCATACCCTTGAGCTTCATGGTCAGGGCTGTGTCAGCACTGTCGTCCAGTGGGTTGTTTTCGAACGTGAGGTAAAAGAATGGGTCATCCTTCTGCTCTTCGTCTTCTTCATTTCCATCTTCCAGAGGAGTTTCATCATCGTTGAGTTCCTCAACCCGCTGGTCATCTGGAACAGGTGGAGCATCTTTGATGGTGATGATCTGAGGGAATAGGCTGCCCTCAGTAGTTCCGTCGTATAGACGCATACCCTCAAGAGCAACCTTGACAAACATTGAATCTGTACGTTGCAGTAATTGTGTGCTGAAAGAGTCGAACAACAGGCGAAGTATTTCTTTCGATTTGCCGTGGGGATCGCGTTTCAAGGTAAAACTACCAGTCCTGAGGCTCATGTTCACCTCGAGCTTGACGTATTCTCTGGGCATATCTACCGCCTCCGTGATGGCCTTCTTTTCGTCCCAAGCGATCGCTTCGTATAATTCTTTGCGCTGTTGTTCGCTTATTTGCGTGTCATCATCATGCTGCTCTTCCTGCTTTGTTCCCCAAACCCATGAAGTCCAAGTCTGTTTCGGGGGCGGCTTCTTGACACCAACATTCTCCTTGCGCAATTGGTTGCGCGCCAGTGAGCGCCAAAAGCGCAAATCTTCGTAGCTCAGTTTCCGCTCAAGTTTGTCCATATCCTCTGCCTCCGCAGGGTCGAGCTTTTCCTCGCGTTTCTTCTTCTTGAAAAGTTCGATATAACGTATACGGTCGTCGCGACGTTCCTTGAAGTATCCCCAGCTCCACTTCCGATTTCTCTCATGGATCTTATCAAGAACAGCCTTACCCGCGAACCGGAGCCAGCCAGCAGGGTCTTCTTTCGGGGACGATTTCGGTTGGTGCCTCTTGTATTCCTGGTGTCGGATAAAGTAGTGGAATAGATCCACCAGCATGAGCGCATCACGGTATTGATCCTCATCAATTATGAAACCTAACTCATCAAAGAGTAGACGCGCCTTCATTCTGGGTCGATCAGGCTTGCCAGTCTTGTCCATTTCCAGGCCAGCACGACCACTGATCGGCTTCAGGATGAACTGATGATCACCCAGGTCAGGATTGTCACCCCTGACAATCATGTCTCGAACTTTCTCAATGAACGCGTCGCGATCGATTTCCTGCTCATCACTGCTTTGGCTGCCCTTGCCGGTGCCAATGAGCTCCGCATCTGTATCCCAGTACACCGCCAGCGATCCGAGGGTCGCCAGCTTGTGAGTCGAGGTCGAATTGCCTTGGATGAATGTGGGTTTCCAATTTTCGTCTGTGCTGATTGCGCTGAAGTCGGCGAGTGTAACACCAAGAGCAAAGGGGTGTCCGGGGTCGGATATCGAGTCTTCGTAGCGGATGTGAATGTTCTTGACTGTAACCTGGACGTTGTCGACGATAGCCGTCACTAGACTCGCGGTGAAGCTTTGATTCTTCTGCTGCTCCTCAGCACTCATGCCTTCAGTATTGCGCTCCTTGAGCAGCTCGGCACTGTCCAGCTTCTCCATTTTGACAGCGTGGGCTCTTCGGTCCTCCTCTTCAGCATCATAATCTGCATCCTCCTTTGGCGCCGCTAGCAGATAGACATCCTCAATGTTGACCTTGAGCGGCTTGCCTCGTAGATTCGACCATGGTATTGAGAGGGTAAGGGAGCCCAGGTGTCCCTCAACGACGTTGAGCGGTAGGCGGAGCTGGTCGAGAGCTTCGCGTCTCAGTTGAAGGTTTCGCAATCTGACGTCACCAGACCAGATACCGACATTGAGTTGCTTGGGATCGAAATTCTGGACATACATGCCCAAGAACCGATTAAGCAGGTTTGAAACGAGTCCCTCAAGCATGGTGGCGGTGGGGGGACGGGGACGGGGTGCCAGGCCCAGGCCGAGATGTGGTGATCAAACGTGGCGGATTCGAGAGAGGGATCGTTATGTCGTTGAACTTGAGGACGTCATGGAGGAAGAGTCGTGTGTTCGTGCAGTCGATGTTCTCGAATGTTGTAAACACTAGGTGGGGCACGCTCGAGCGGGAGGTGTGGGTGAGCAGGACTGCTTCGAGCAAGGAGCAAGGACCTGCTTCCAGAAACAAAGGCGTAAGGAGAGTAGCGAAGTGAACCTGGAGAAGAGAGGAGGAGGAGGAGGAGTAGGTAGCTCAAGAGCGGTAAACAGTGCAAGGTACAGACTTGAACACGACACGAAGAAGCGATACCCGCTTGCTGAGAATGCAGGCGCTATGCCATGACGTAGGGGTGTTGGCAGGGCTGATGGATGGTGCGCTCGGCGTCCCGCTCACGTGATGTGGGATTTGGCTGAGGGGATGATGTCCATGCGGGCCGTCTCAACACTGATTGGCCACGAGTCCGTTGCTTTTTCTGTCTAGCATTCGTCCATCTAGATTCTATTCTACGATGAGCGAGTGATGCAGCGTATGATATCTTTACACGTTCTGAACACCTATGCTCTAGGTTCCACAACGCTTACAACTGGTTGCCAATTCTGATTCTGACCAATCGCGGCCGAACGAGACTCCCCATCTTCCTTCAGCGGGTGGTAGTTGGCCCTAGAGTCCCTACAATACAGCAACCACCTACTGCACATTGCACAATCACCATGGTCTGGCCCTTCTCAAAGGCAAGCGGCGATGCTTCGCCAGCACAGCCAGCAACACAATCACCACAGACCGAGTCGATACCTCCCACCACGGCCCCTCATGATCCCGACTTCTACGCCGCCCACCCACACCTCGCACCGCCTTCCTTTTCTACAGCATCTACCACTCCATCTTCCTCCTCCGGCTCATCCACAATCTCTACGAGCACGACCACCGACGATGTCCTCGACCCTTCCCTCCCACGCACCATGTCCTGCCGCGCCGCCTTCGATAGCGCCTTCTACTGCTCCTCGCTAGGCGGCCACTTCAACGATCTCTACCGCTATGGACAGCTTCGATCCTGCAGCGATCACTGGGCCGACTTTTGGTTCTGCATGCGCACCAAGAACAGCTATAGTGGACAAGATGTCAAGGAGCGCATGGTGCAGGATCGGTATAGGGAGAAGGAGAAGCAACTGATGAGTGGGCCAAATAGCGAGGATGTGTGGGTCAGGCGGCGGCCGGGAGAGGAAGTCAGGGGGGCTTTCAGGGCGGGCACAGGGTTTGAGAAAGAGGATAGGAGACAATAGGTCTATCTGGTGTTGTGTGAATATGTAGGATAGATGAAATGAGTCATGTATTGAAAAGAAAAGAGGGACCAATAATGTAATGGACACTGGCCTGTTAATGGTAACAGATCAGGCGTCATCTAATGTTTTGAATAGGATGGAATGAAAAACGACCAAGAGACGTCTCTTGCCCAGATCCTCTGGTAATGAAAAATCGATCGGCCGCCACAAATCCTGTAATCAGTGGCCATTGTCTCAGATATAATATGTGTACACTGTCATGTTATTCGCCGAGGCGAATCATGAAGCACGTCTGTCGCTAGAGTAATTTTATCTTGTCGACATCCATTTCGTATTGTCTGCAACAGTGTTTTGCGTAGAAACGAAACACTCAATCGTCCGAAGAATTCTTGAGCACCAGTGCGTTGCAGAACAATATCCGTGCGAAGCGGTAGCAGAGCATCTAAGTAAAAATAGGATAGGGTTTAGTAGTAGTACTCTAATTTTACTAGGTACACTTTTCACCGATGTGCTGTGTGCAAGCCCAAGTGTGAATGTTGTCAGCCTCTACCACCACCTTGATACCCACCTTCATACTAATTAATATATCAATACCACGATATTGCGATATATTGATACATACCCTATTGACATTGCAATATATCAATACCTACCTCACCACCTACACCGCCACCTATATATATCGCGATATCGAGGTGGGTGTCGATATATCGCGATATCGAAGTGGGTATCGCGAGGTGGATATTGAGGTGGTGGTAGAGGTGGTGGTAGAGGTGGTGGTAGAGGCCAACAACAATCGGACTCGGGCTTGTACTCTAAAACCTATTCTACAGTATTTTTCCTTAGACGCTTGGTAAAATCACAATCAGTCACAAATAAAACAGACGCGCATATTTGAAGTAATCATCTGGATTCTCTGCTCAGGGTATGGCACCCAGTCATTAGAGTAAATGCTAACCCAACTTTTCCCTTCAATCGTGTGATCATAAACTCATCCATGCATGGAAAAGACACCCGAAAAAGAGCTCGATGGCCTGAACTCCGAGAACAACCGCCCAGAAACAAGTCTATACTGGAGATGAAGAAGACGTAGGAGAAGGATCAAGGGAGCAATGCATCTAGTCAACCTCCTCGACGGTAGGGCCATCGTCCTGGCCGGCACCGCCTGGCGCGCCACCGGGCATGCCGCCACCGGGCATACCGCCAGGCATACCTCCCTCGCCGCCAGCACCATAGAACTTCATCATGATGGGGTTGGCAACACCCTCAAGCTCCTTCTGCTGCGACTCATACTCATCCTTGCTGGCAGTCTGGTTGTCATCCAACCATGCGACAGTCTTGTCAATCTCGGCCTTGAGCTTCTCCTTGTCGCCAGCATCAAGCTTCTCATCGACCTTGGAGTCGCTCAGAGTGTTGCGCAGCGAGTAGGCATATGACTCGAGAGCGTTCTTGGCGGCGATGCGGGCAGCCTCGGCTTCATCCTCCTCCTTGTACTTTTCAGCCTCAGCCAACATCCGCTCAATCTCCTCCTTGGACAGACGGCCCTTGTCATTGGTGATGACAATCTTGTTCGTCTTTCCAGTACCCTTCTCGAGCGCGGACACGTTGATGATGCCGTTGGCGTCAACATCAAACGTCACCTCAATCTGGGGAACACCACGCGGCGCAGGTGGAATACCCGTAAGCTCAAACTTTCCGAGCAAGTTGTTATCTTTTGTACGCGCGCGTTCGCCTTCGTAAACTTGGATAAGCACGCCTGGCTGGTTGTCGGAGAAGGTGGAGAAGACCTCAGACTTCTTGGTGGGGATGGTGGTGTTGCGCTTGATAAGGGGAGTCATGACACCACCAGCAGTCTCGATACCAATGGAGAGCGGCGCGACATCGAGGAGCAGGATCTCGCTCGTCGACTTGGAAGAAGTGTCGCCAGACAAGATGGCAGCCTGGACAGCAGCACCGTAGGCAACAGCCTCGTCGGGGTTGATGGACTTGTTGGGCTCCTTTCCGTTGAAGAAGTCCGAGACCATCTTCTGGACCTTGGGAATACGCGTGGATCCACCAACCAGGACAATCTCGTGAACAGACGACTTGTCAATCTTGGCGTCGCGGAGGACACGCTCGACGGGTTCCATGGTAGAGCGGAAGAGGTCCTGGCAAAGCTCTTCAAACCTGGCACGGGTAATGGACGTGTAGAAGTCGATGCCCTCGTACAAAGAGTCAATTTCAATCGAGGTTTGAGCAGAAGAGGATAGAGTGCGCTTGGCACGCTCGCAAGCAGTCCGGAGACGGCGGAGGGCACGAGCATTGGTGGTGAGATCCTGCCGGCATGTTAGCAATGAATTCAAACTCATCGAGTGCGGGGAATTGAGGGTTTCAGACCTTCTTATGTTTTCTTTTGAACTCTTGGCAGAAGTGGTTCACAAGACGATTATCGAAGTCTTCGCCACCGAGATGGGTGTCCCCCGCAGTGGACTTGACTTCGAAGATGCCCTCTTCGATGGTCAAGAGGGAGACATCAAAGGTACCACCACCCAAGTCGAAGATGAGGACGTTGCGCTCACCCTCGGTCTTCTTGTCGAGACCATAGGCAATGGCAGCGGCAGTAGGCTCGTTGATGATGCGGAGAACATTGAGGCCGGCGATGAGACCAGCGTCCTTGGTAGCCTGACGTTGCGAGTCGTTGAAGTAGGCGGGGACGGTGACGACGGCGTTGTTGACGGTGCCACCAAGGTATGACTCGGCAGTCTCCCTCATCTTGACGAGGACCATGGATGATATCTCTTCAGGTGTGAATGTCTTGGTCTCACCCTTGAACTCCACCTGGATGACAGGCTTGCCACCCTTGTCGATGATCTTGAAGGGGAAGTGCTTCATGTCAGCCTGGACCTCTGGGTCTGCAAACTTGCGGCCGATGAGGCGCTTGGCGTCAAAGACTGTGTTGACGGGGTTCATGGCCACCTGGTTCTTCGCAGAGTCACCGATGAGACGCTCAGTGTCGGTGAAGGCGACAAACGATGGGGTTGTCCGGTTACCCTGGTCGTTGGCGATGATCTCGATGCGGTCATCTCTAAAGATACCGACACACGAGTAGGTCGTGCCCAGATCAATACCGATCGCGGGTGCCATGGTGAAGGCGTGGAAATGTGCAGAGGGGTATCAAAGAAGTAGGAAATTCGTGGAAATTGCTCACAAGTCAAGGACTTAGTATGGTGAGTCTTTGCAGATGATTGGATTTGTGTAGTGAGAAGAGTCGAGCAGAGCGGGCAGCTGTGAAGGTTTTTAAGTCGGCTGGTGATGCCCGAAGGCGATGGAAGGTTCTATGGAAATATGCCAAGCTAGGGTCTTCCAGCGCCTTCGCGCAAGCTCTGCAGCCTACCAGAAGCAGCCTGGCTGATTGCTGCGAGCAAATGGCCATTTGGCGACCCACTTGCTACGTATTCTTGACCATGGGATTTGGGTGTACCGTGTGGGTGCCGCAGTGAATGTGAATGTTCGCGATATCCTCAAAGGTGGCATTCGCTGTTCGTCTTTGGAGTTCCCCGTGATGTCACTTTTCAATCTCACCCCGCCATGATGGGCGGCTAACCGTACATGGACAAGCGTGGAGAGCCCCGCCATTGATGTCCACAAACTTGTGTCAGAGCAGGTGGCGGAACACGACAGCGCAACGACATGTCAGTCTTGCATCCGGTATTGCACCGTAGATTGGATATCCTACTTTACAACAGAAAATAGGCCACTACAACGAACAAGGACATGGCAAAGACGTCCCGCGACTTTGACCCAGTAGCACGACTGGCAGTCGTCACTCCCGACCCACAACAGGACCGCCGGTCATAGCCAACGCCATTCGCTTCCGCAGCCACTTTGAAGACACTCCCGTTAAAATTGCCAAAGTTGTAATAGTCCACCAAGATCCAATTCGGCGGCCTCCCCCACGTATCCTCGCACTGCTTTGCATTCAGGCCCACGCTGCCATTGCCAGAGTCAGCATTGACCTGATCGAGAAGCCCGTAGGCAGGTACCAGAATCCCGCCTTTACCCAAAAGAGTAATCTCAATGTTGAGATTGTGGTTCATCAGGTACATGCGTTCCCGGGAGATTCCTTCGGCTTGATTTGGTGGGCGTTGTTGGGTACATGGGAAGGCTGGATCGGTCGGGGAAAAGGGGGTTTCCCAATAATAATTGAACGCGCTGAGCAGCCAGGGGACGGTGTTTTGGTCGGTACCGTAGTCGAGCATTACCACCACGCGCTTGTTCTTAATAATCATCTCTGCTAGCGTGGGCCATTCACTCAGGCTCAGGGTACTCGAGGGCGGTGTCCAAAGATATTGCAAGATGCCGGAATCCTGGAAAGGTGCGATATAATCAGTGACGGATATACGGCTATCTTGGCCATTGTTGTTGCCCATCATGATCGTAATGACCTCGTACGGATGGTCTGCGAGCCAGCCTCTCACTGTGGCTAGATAGGACTCAAGGGTACCGACGTCAAGAATATTACAGGACGTATGGCAAAGACGAATCGCAGACGTCGAGTTGGGTTTTTGGGTCTCGAATGACACTTTGGCATGATTAGTCTTTGCGGCCTCCCAGCCAGTGCATACTCTACCCACTTACAGCCACGAATTCCATTGTCAAGTTGCGTCAAGACGGGATAGACTTGATTACTAGCGGCATTGTTTTGTCTTACAAACGGGCTATTGTGCGCCACCACCATTGAGACATTGGAGAATCTGCGGTCGCAGAACTCCGTGTAACCATTGCAGGGCGTTGTGTTCGAGGCCTGTGGCCGAGCAGACGTTGTGGCTGATAGGGTAGCATTGTTGGACAAAGTTGCTCCACCCGCTACTACAGTGAGGTCTTCTGCAGTGGTCGAGGCAGTCGAGGTGCTTGACGTAGTCGAAGTGGCAGTAGTGTTTTGGCTGGTTTGCCCTGTGCTTGAAGAGTCCTTAGGTACAGGCGATGCGGATATGGAGGATATTTGCGCCGTTGTGCCACGCGCAAAGACAGCCAAGGATGCGAGGAGAGGAATAGGAGAAACCATAAAGGGCGAAAAATGAGTGACAAGAGCCGGCCACCAAAGCTGAAGCAGGAAATCAGCAGGCGAGTAAGCCTGCAGTCTGGAAGAACGGATGCGTGACCAAGGAGACGTTTCATTGTGCTAAAGTACAAAGCTGCTTTGGCGGTGTACTACTTGGTTCACTGGGGAGAAGTCACGATGACGGCATCTGACTGCGCTAGAGAAGACAAGTGTAAATAGATGGATTCTACATGCATGTAGTGCTACAATAAACTTGGCAGCATGCGCTCCAATATGGTTATGATTAGCAGTCAAGCTGTGTACATGGCGAACTCGATCCAATGTCAGCACACGGGAAGGCGTCGTACTTGTATTCGTACTTGCACAATGTCAAGCTCGAGTATCCAAAGGAAGAACGATTGAATCGGATGTGAACAACACGGGAGCGCTAATCATTTCGCGTTTACTACCGGTAGTGCAGAGCGGTGGTACATGATTGGCCAGTACACACGTACCAAAGGAATTCTTCTTTACCTCCACCTGGATACACGTTAGGCAATCAATCTTTGTCAATCTGTGATGGTGAGATGTGTTGGGATGGCTATGATAAGAAGCATTGAATAGTAACACCACATACTCTAGCAATCGTGAGCACTGATTTTCTTGTTTTTCACCCCAAATGAGGAATAATCTCGCGTTTCAATCATGGTATTCTTCATAAGGGGCGACTTTACAGTCTCCAAAGGAGAACTCTTTTTCAAACTCGCCTTGATTTATCATTATCATTATTCCTCTGAAACAGCAAGCATCAATACATAACCAGTCATTTGCGGGAAACCCAGCAACATCACGAGTAGCACAACATACTACACCAGAAACCGCCACTGACCATCCATCCACCTAGCTACCGCCCTACGCCACAAAAATCCTCGTCACATTGACAGCGACACAACTCTGATTCTCTGGCTCGCCTGGCCCCAGCTTCCACGCCAGATTCACATAGCGATACGACGCAAAATACGTCTCGCACGCGTACCAGCGATAAAACTCTCTATACACGCCCGGCTGCGGCGGCTGCACCGTATAATCGACCGACCCTTGCAGCGTCAACCGGTTCTGGAGATCAAACGCCACAATCTGGGGCCTCGCAGACCCGGGCTCGAGAATGGGCAGCGCGATGTCGGTCGTGGGGTCGTAGTTGAAGTACGCAGAGGACGAGACATTCATGCTGGCTGCTTGGAGGATCCAGGTGAGGATACCGGGGGTGCCAAGGGTGGGTTCGGGGGCCTGGGAGTATGTGGAGGTGTTGAAGTTGAAGACGGAGGGGCTGCTGGACCCGGGGTTCGGAGGGGAGACGTTGGCGCTCAGGCAGAGGGATTCCAAGGCTGCGCCGACGTGGCAGGCGGCTAGGGTGGTGTTGATGGTGCCATCGGCCGAGGTGACGACGAGGTTGAAGGGCGTGGAGGTTATGTTGTAGAATGGCTCGGTGGACTGAGCGGTGGCGAGGGTGGTGGCGAGGAGCGAGAGAGCGAGTGGAGTGGTCTTCATGTTGTTGATGTTTGCCAAATTCTCAAGTAGAGCATAAAGGGGCCGGGACAATTGTGGTAGGTGACTTTGGACAAAGTAGAAAAAAGACGGCCAATATCTCCACTGCGTTGTAGGCACAGTACGGTACAGTGGCAATGCTCGCTATGACATTCTCTCCTCTTCTGCTCAGCCTGCGAACCCGCGCATTTATACCCTCATTGATGACCTCTCATCCCGACACCACTTCCCCCTTCCCCCCGCCCTCGCGCATGCACAACTTGATCCCGAATACACACGCACCCCCCATGCATCTTCGTAGGCCAGGACTTAGTTTTCCCCAACGTTACACCCAGCCTAACGTTACGGTCACATGTACCATCAAACCCGCCTACCCTACCCACCACCAAACCCCAACCCCCAAAGCAACATCTCCTCCGCTACCTAACCCGAACAAG